GCGATCGAGAGTTTTGGCTCCAACGAGACGGCGAGACCGAATTTTCGAGTCGGCGATGTTCCATCGTGCGTGAAACAGTAACGACGTCGCCGGGGAGGGGGGGGAGGGGGGGAAGAGGAAGAGACGCCGTGATTCCGAAAGTCCGACTAAAGCTGTCATATAATCGACGACGCCGGGCAGATTGGAGAGGGTGGAAAATGGGTCAACGTATGCTAACGCGGCGCGTTGCATACCGGCGGAACCCTGCGGCTACGATAATGAGAAAAGAAACACGGCGCCGTCGCGCTCTCTCATCGCCTCCTACGCCCCTCATCAGCCCGAACGACCCTTTCCCACCTCTCGCTCCCCGCGGAATAATTCGCAGCCGACTGCGAATCATGCGCGCCAAACGGCAGGGCCGTCCGACGCGGCTTTAATCTCCGAGCGAATTTATCGCGCGAGCCTTGGTGGCTCGCGAGAATCTCACATCTCGAGACGTGTCCGCGCGCGCACTCTCAAAAAGAAACCACGTAATAGAAAGCGCGAAAGGCTGGAGAATCCGCTTCCTCGCGGGTTGTAATCTCAGACTCGCTTCGGGAAGCGCGGAAGACCGCCCGGCCAGAGGCTCGTCCGAAGACCACCCGCGCCTCTCGGCTCTCGAGCACTCGCGGGACGGGGGCAGGAGGCGGGAGGGGGGAGGGGGGGGAGGGAGAAATTCAAGCGGAGAAATAGAAAGTATAACGTTCTCCACGAATGCGCCGTTGCGATCGTTGCGCGTTTCGCGAGCGCGGCCGGGGACAGACGCGCGTAATTCCTCCGAGAGACTTCGCTCTCGATCAGCCGTTCACCCCCTCGGCGCCCTTAATAATTTCGTTCAATTACGCCGTATCTCCTCGCAATTTGCCGCGAGTGTGCGAATCGATATTCGCAGCGCGACGCGACGGTGCGCGCAGGCCGGTCGCGTGGTGACGGTAAATAGAGAGAAAGCGCCGCGAGGGCCCCCGTCTCGTCGACGTCGTCGTCCTCTTGGCGCCCTACGGCTGCCTGCGCGCGATAAATGAGAATAGAAGGGCGGCGCCAACGCCAACTCTCTCTCTCTCTCTCTCTCTCTCTCTCTCTCTCTCTCTCTCTCTCTCTCGACGCGCAGCGCGCTCCTTCTCGTCTCGGCTAGCCTCGACATGTTCCTCATGAAACCGCCGGAACGCGCGCGAGCGAACGAGAGAGAGAGAGAGAGAGAGAGAGAGAGAGAGAGAGAGCTCGTTAACCGAGAGTGCGAGAGGGAATACGCTTTGTCGCGCGGCCAGAGCTTAATTCCATCGACCGCTATCGCGGGATTGAGTAAAGAAACGCGAACGAGATAGTCCGGCCACCTTGCCGAACGAGGAAATGTCCCTCTTCCATGTTGCGCCGATTATGTTAATCGCGGGTTGCATTACCGCGCGCACTCGTGACGCCGACGGCGTCCCGGGTCCCGGGTTGAATCGTGGCCCGCGAGGGGATAGCAGAAGTGGATGTTGAACTTTTCGAAAGAACGTGGGGCAGTTTTTCGCAGGGAGAAGAACATCCTGACGCTGCTCGACCGCGATCAATCGGGACGGCGCGGCGCGCGCGGGATACGACCCTGAGAATTTGTCCCCGCGAGCGCGTTACGTGAGCTCGCGATTATCGTGCGCATTAGCGACTCTCATCGGGAGAGAGAGGAGCCGTGAGAGAGAGAGAGAGAGAGAGAGAGAGAGAGAGAGAGAGAGAGAGAGAGAGGAGGAAATAAAAATCGAACCTTTCCACGACAAGCGCGAACTTCAACGAGAGCACGTTCGAGCGGAGGAAGTTCCTCCGAAGCGAAACGATCGGGTGCGCGCCGCGCCGGTGAAAGGAATTCCACGCCTTCGAGTCTTATTGACAGGCGCGTTACACTCGAAACGGTTCTTTCGGGCGGAGAATCCGGGAATAAAATTCGCTCGAACTCGCCTAGTTATTGAGTTATTATTGTCATCGGCGTCAGCCGACCCGGAAAAGACGGGAATCCCGTTCGCGCGCGAGAGCCAACTTTCTCCTCGTTCCGTCGCGATGCTCCCGCCGGAGATCCCCGCGCCCAGGTCGCGAATTATCAGCGCGTTTGTCGCGTACCGGCTTATCTAATGATCTAAGGACCGAAGTCCTTCATTCGCCGGCGTGAATCCTAATTCCACGCGTCCGCTAACGACCCTCGCGCTGATAACGCACATCGACGTGCATCGTCACGTCGTGACCGAGCTGACGCGAATTAACGGGCCAGGAAAGTTCCGAAGTAACAGAATCTCAGAGTTAAATCGGAGAGAGAGAGAGAGAGAGAGAGAGAGAGAGAGAGAGAAGCTGGCTTATCGGTGAAGACTCCTCCAATTAATTGCCAGCCACTCACAGATGATAGACGCGATACGTGTCAATCGCGAGTATCCATTAACGGGCTATTAATACACGTCGACGCTCAACTGCTCATTAATACACCGACGACGGCGAGAAAGTACGCGCGAACGCGGTAAAATCATTATTCCGCCAGCTGCCAGACCGTTAATTACATTTACACTCGAATATAAGTCGGCGAGCGCGCGCGCGCGTGCGCCAGCCTCCCTCTTTCGCTGCCTCGTTATTTTGCTGAATTCGAGGACAAGCGTGACGGTGTTACGTGAGTATTGTTTCAAGTGCGTGCTCGCGGCGGCTCGATACTGCGCGCGCGCGTCATCGCGAATATCTCGCGGTTGAACAGCGCGAACGCGGCGAAGCTGACGTGCGAAATGCGCGCGGGGAGATACCGCGCGCGCTTTACGAGACGATTCATCGAGTCACAATGCATTTTGTGCGTCGCTCGTACCGCACCCGCGCGTGCCCTCACGTCGTGGTGGGAGCGAGAGAGAGAGAGAGAGAGAGAGAGAGAGAGACGCGGCCTCATTGACACGAGAACGCAGAGAAGCCGATGGAGCGTTTCGCGAGTATACAAACGTTGATCGATCGAGGATGGATCCTCCCCCTCCCCACGCTCGAGATTCTCGATTCAATTCCCCGGCTTTGTTATTTACCTCGTTAATCGCGGTCGAAATCACTCTTTCGGCGCTCGCTCGTTAATTTCGCTAACGATCCTATAATTCGTCGATAGTTATTATTCGCGAATTAATCGTCCCTGGCGTTTTCCTCGAAATCGCCCGCTTCACGGCTCGGCAATTTCCGCCAGGTTTTTTTCCCCCTCTTTTTCTTCCTTTTGGGCGTTTTAAGGCGACGTTTGGGACATAAATTTCAAGACGCGGTCTTTAATTACACGGCCGACCGCTGCATCGTCGAGGCTGCGTGCGCGCGCGCGCGCGCGCGTGCAAGTACACGTGCGAGAGATGCGTGCGTAAATGAGGCACCAGAGTCGAATCGACCGCGACTACTCTCTCTCTCTCTCTCTCTCTCTCTCTCTCTCTCTGCCCTTCGTCCGCTAATTCGCATTTGACAGGGCCGCGCCAAGGGCAGCGGCTGCAAATTTAACGCGACGTGTCGTGCGCCGTGGCAATTGCTCGCTGGAAGACACGACTGCTAAAACGCAAATAAAAACTAAAAAATCGTCTCGTCGCGGCAGCTTCGGTCATTCAAAGTCAGCTAAAAAAAAGCCTAAACCGGAAGAAGCGGATCAAACAAATTCTCGCTCCCCCCCCCTCTCTTTCCATTAAATGATAAGAAAAATGAAGAATGTCTCAAGGCTCACGACAATTCTGTGACAACTCGTCGAATTAGGCTTCAAATTCGGTCTCTACTAGAGACCGAATATTGCTAACTGATAAGATTGATATAATTCATTATGTAAGCAGTAACGCGCGCAATGACGCGCGCGGAAGAAGGTGTGTATACATACACAGGTGAATTATAAATGCATGCAAATGCGGGGTGAAGTTAACTCGCCCCGTCGTTCTCGTTCTCGTTTAGCGTTGAGAGAACGCGACTATTCCTAAACTTTGGCGGGACAAGCGCGGAGAATACACACACACACGCTCGGCGTATAAGCGGAGGCGGTGTGTATTAGATAGCCGTATTTAACGCTAAGTGTCCGGCGCGAGAACGCTGACCGTGGTGGTGCACCTGGTCAACCTGGCCAACCTGGTCAACCTGGTCAACCCGCGCGACGACTGCGACGTCTTGAAGGAGCATGCTTTTCACTTTGCGGTCGCAACGAGCGGCTCTCTTTCCGTCTCGCGTTCTCTCTTTCGCGACGTTTCTCTTTCCGTATGTTTCAAGTAGGAGCTAATAGAATGTATCTGCTGGTATCCGCTTTGAGAATATGCAAAAGCGGCTCGAGGTATCCTTCAGAGACGGATACGCGTATCAACAGCCGTGAAGTTAACAGCGGTCAGTAATGGAATCGCCAATTACTCAGCCCGCTACGCCACGAACGCTAAAAAGTGAATCTATATCGCGACGTTAATAAAAAAAAATCACTCGGGACTTCTACGGATGTGTGTCGATAACGATATAACAGTGGACGACTATGGTTCTCTCTCGGGCAAATTACTATCTTTAGACGTTCGTAAATCTCTTCTATCTCCGGCTGATCGACCGCTGTAACTCTATCATTTGGCGATATACATGTATATACCGTTGAGAGATAACTTATCTCGACTTCATTTTTCCACAGGGAGAAAATATTTAAAATGAGATAACGGGGTTTTATCTAAGCTAACTAGAGATCTGAACGACTTCGACTGAATTCTTCGGCAACTTCGGCCGGAATTTCTGTTATATTTCGCCGGGAAAGTGATTCATCCGAGCAAACATTCGTCTCTCCGAGTGTTATCGAGAAAGGAAATTGAAGTTTTTGAGTCTCCAAACAGGAGACTCGCGCATTCCATCGATTCCGCAGCTCACTTTCGCTAATTTCATCTCTACAGACGGGTGATACATCCACCCGTCGACACTTACGTTCGAGTGCCCTCGATTGCGACCGCGAAGGACCAATAAAGAACGATCGGCGGTCGTCTTTGCGACCGCGGAGACAAAACTAATACTGTACTCACCTCGATAAGGTGCCCTTGAGCAGAGGATTCCTATCGTCATAATATCCACCGGGCGAAGGCATCTCTTCAAGTAATCCAAACAATGGGCACGTGGCACTGGTCACTGACACTACGGCACTGCATCACTGCATTCGGTCGCGTGATCCGTGTTAGCTCTCTCCATTCACCGCGCCGCGCCGCCGGCAGCCGCGATCAAGCCTGGCGGTTACGCGCGCGACGCATCGTTCCGCACGGCCGCTGTCCGGCGACAACAACTACGCGATATAATGAGAACGGCAACGAAGACGAAGACGAAAACGTAGCGCGGCATTCGCGCATATCGCGCGCGCGCGCGCGCGCGCGACTTTACGGGCGAAGCCGCGGCGGAATCGCGTGCACGCGCGTCCGCGAGCGCGAGTCACTCACCGTTTCGAAGCCGAGGTCGAAGTCCGTTTAAAACGACTTTGTGCGCGCGGAAAGGTACGCGCGCACTTTCGAAACAATCCGCTTCTTTTCTTCGCGCGGCGATGCTTTATCGTTCCGCTTCTTTTATCGACCTCGCGATCATCTGATATCTGTATTCTTCTCCAGACCTCGGTACCTGGACCTGGACAAGCGCGCACTTTAAAGGGCACACGCGTATTCGTAGCGAGTCTTGCTCTCTCTCTCTCTCTCTCTCTCTCGCTCGCTCTTCGTACAAGAAAGTCCTCGCTTTTCAATGGTACGTGACTATTCGACGTCTCTTTTATTCTTCCCACCGTGTCGCGCCTTAAGGCGCGCGTTTTCCAAGGAACAACGTGCGCGCGCGCGATGCAAAGATAGTCCGTCTTTGTCTTCGAACCGATGTCTTATCTGTTTTTCACCTCGCATCGAGTTCACTTTTCTTCTTCTTCTTCTTCTTCTTCTTCTTCTTCTTCTTCTTCTTCTTCTTCTTTTTATCAATGTGCCCGTTACACTTTGATACTCCTCCTCTTATTCTCCTGCACCTTTTGTATCGATGTTTTCCTCACTTTTCAATAAGTCGTCCACCATAATAACGCTCCTCCTCATATTGACAGTCCTTTTTTCGAGGCGACGTCTCCAGATCCACGGGGATCGCGGCAAGAGCTGCTTTCTTGGCAAATTTCACAAATTATCGCGCATTAACAGCTCCTCCGCGACAAGTCCTCCGTGCAAGCACCACTCGAGATCGACACTCGCGCGCATGCAATTAATGTCCGTTAAGCAGCCACGACGTTGCTCCGGTTTCGTCACTCGGAGCGTCGTAAACAACGCGATCGTCGCGGTGATTCGCGCCTACTGCTGCACGGCGAGACTCCGTTATAACAGGTGCGTACTTGCAACGTACGGCGCGACCTTACCACCGTAAACAAACTCGCCGCGAAGGACACACGCACGCACACACCGTCCGCCACGTAGCGCGCGCACACGTTCAACGACGATCCGATTTCAGCTCGCGGATCGACTGCGATCGCAAAGTTTCGCCGGGCGTCCAAACCAGATGATGTTCGCCACCGGTTGACTGATCAACTCTACGCGAGCACGCGTGCGCAACTCCGTGCTGTTGTCCCTCTCTCACTCTGCCCCTGTCTCTCTCTCTCGCTCTCTCTCTCTCTCCCCCTCTTCCTTTCTTTCTCTCCGTCTCACAATCAGCAGATGTGGCGTCGCGACGGCAGCGTCGCCCCGTCGGCTACACACGCGAAAGTACCGTCCTCGTCGTCGTCGTCGGCCCGCTCGTTCGTCCTTCACCTGCGGACAGAATCGTACCTCCTCAGGACGCTTTCCTTCAATGTGCACATGCACACGCATGTACCATCTGGCCGCGAGGCTGCGACTGGCCGCGTCGACACGTGCGATCGCCGCTACCAAACATGGCCGCCTGTCAATCCCCCTCCCCCTAGCCACCCACCTCAAGCCGTCGAGACACAGTAGCAGAAGACGCGACGCGCGATCAGCTTCTCGATTCGCGAAATTCGCCGCGCTAAACGCGCAAGATGTACGCCCCTCCCGGCCGTCCCCTGCCAGCCGACGGTGTTCGTGGTGCGATCCTAGTCGGCTCGTAGTGTCGCGTCTCGTCGCTCATACGCGCGAAATCTGTTACGATTCAACGCCGCCGAAATCGCGCGCGACTAGAGTCGCGCGAGTGAAAGTGCGCCGAGTGCAGCCCGAGAAGTCTCGATTCTATCCTCCCTCTCTCTCTCTCTCTCTCTGTGCCTCGTTCTCGCTCTGTCTCGTTCTTTCTCTATCTCGTTCTCTCTCTGTCTCGTTCTCGCTCTGTCCGGTTGGCCGGACTGTCTCCTTCCCTCTCTCTTTCTCGCTTCTGTCTCCCCTCTTCCTCCGTTACCGCCGTCTATCTCTCGCGCTCGCTCGCTCGCTCGCTCGCTCGCTCCCCTCCCACCCACCGCCCGGCGCCGCAAGTCCGCGCGCGAAGGCTGCTGTTGACGTAAACAAACGGAATATTCCTGCTGAAGCGTCTCGCAGCGCGCGCGAAAGTAAAGGCCTATTTAGCAAATCGCTTCTCTTCCTACGACGCGACTACACTCGCGCGATATCGTGCCGTTCCGGAAGCAAGCGCGTTTAATTCGAGGCAGACCTCCGAAAACCTACCGCTTCGAAAGCACGCTTGGTTGCCGTGAAGCTACCAATGCCAATATAGCGTGTTCGGATAATATCGTATGTCGCACTATTAGCGTTGCACTATTTTTTTCGCATTAATCCGTATACTGTGATCATACATATTCATAGGACAACGAATGAATATTTGCGCTGATCTGATCTAATCTTTTAATTTAAAACTCGATAAAAGCGGCGACGGATCTTTTCACGCGCGTTTTAATGTATGATGATACAACGTATCTGAGAAATTAGTAACATGACGTTATTTAAACTTTACTGGCATGAAACTTTGTTGGCGATGAGAATCTATTCGAGGGCATTAATTCGATATCATCCGGAGTAATTTCGCCCAAAGTTTACGCTGATAAAGCACGGACGACTTTCAAGAGTTCACCCTCAATTTGCCACGAATAAAAATCGCGTTTACGGCACTGGGCGTGCATTTCTATTCGTACGTTCAGACGTTCGAGCCGAGACTCAAAAGTAGGCTAAAAAACGAGAAGCCGAGAACGCTTTAGCAATCGCTCTTCATGTTTTTTCCCGTATCCAATACATGACTAGTTAAGACCAAGTTTGCCGGTATTTTCAAGTCCAATTTGTGTGACGAGACATGTAGCGGTAAGAGTGAGACAAATAATACAAACCCCTCTCCCTCTCTCTCTCTCTCTCTCTCAACATCTCGTTCTTAACCTCTCTTTCTTACCGCTGGTTTTTGGCTTCGTCATATATATTATACATATCGCCATCCTAATTATATTCGAACGCTTTATCAGTACTACGTCATTACATTGTTACAAGTGGCCACACTGGTATATCGGCCGAAAGAGCCGCAGTTAACACACAAAATGGCGGAGCTACGAGGCAGATCGACCGCGATCGCAAGAATGAAACCGTGAACAAGACGAGCGCGGCTGGCACGCCGTGTGTCTGACGACTCTTACCGTATCCGAGATTTCTTCGAAAGCAGACGACACACTCGGATGCCTTCCTCGTAGAAAAGCCTGTCGTTGCAAAGTCACCGTTGCACGAAGCACGCTCTAAAGGGACATCTCCAAGATGCGCCGGGAACTCCGCAAGGCTCAAAGGAACCCTAACCCTGAGTCTCTTTCTCTCTCTTTCTTTCTCTCAGCGAGAATTCGGAAATCGCGTCGCACGCGACTCGGCACTAGAAGAACACTCGCGCGTTCCGCTCGCGCAACGAGATCGGATGAGCGCTTGGAGCGGAGAGCGCTCGGCCGCGGGATTCACTCATTAAGAGCACGAGAAAGTGCATGGAAAAAGGACACGTTTACCCGACTCGCCGTCTTCGTAAACTGCGAAACCGTTGCGCGCGCGAGGGTCACGTGCCGAAGGCTCGAGCGCGCCATTGGCCGGATCGCGCTCGCTTCCAAGATGGCGTGTCACCGAACGGTTAAGTGCGCACCGAGTGAACACGAAACGGAATGAACCGACGAATTTATTCCCAGGGCTCCAATTGCGGCGCGTTTGTTGCGAAGCTTCACGATTCATCGGCATCTGAATCGTAAAGCTTCGGCGAGGAACGTCCGAGGAGGTTAGGTCCGGTAGATTCTCCCACGTCGTCTCTCGTAACCCTGCGCTGTCCGCTTAATTACAATATCGTGGCGAGTAAATGTCGTCGGTGAAGAAGCCGCATCGCCGTCACCGTGGCGAATCGCGACGATAATACGCGAGTCGCTGCACGGGGCTACTTGTTGTTTATCTTAATGCCCGCATGATAAAGAAGACGCGAGTACACAAGGCGAGCGCGCGGTGATGTAATATCGACGTAGCCGAGCGGATCTCGCGCAAGTTTGGTTGGTTAGCAGTTGCTGGTCGAGCGATATCACACACCCACCGGTGTCGAAACGAAAACGTGCACTACGCAGTGCCCGCGATCCCATCAACGAAAAGTCGTGCGTGCATCTCTCTCGAGCACTATCGCCTGGCCGACTAAACGCGCATGCACGCGTGCACGCACGCACGCACGCACGCACGCACGCACGCACGCACGCACGCGTTACCGGATCGGCGACGAAGGAATCTCCACGTTGCGACACGAGCTGCTGTCATAAGCCGTAATTATTCCTTTCTCCCGCAGCTTCTGCCGCCTCGTCCGCGCACTTCTCTATGCACTTTCACCGTGTCTTCCTCCGCGCTCCGCAGACCCCCTGCAAGATCACTTGGCGTGCTCGAATTACCGTTCAAGCCGTCGCCGAGCGTGACCCTACCATAAACCCCGTCGACGTACTCCGTATTCTGCCGAACACAGATAGTTTCGACCGATCAAACGTTACACAGGACGTGACGTAGTAGTGAAAGCATGCAAAGAAGAATTATCGATAGACCATCGATCTCTCTCTCTCTCTCCTCTCTCTCTCTCTCTCTCTCTCTCTCTCTCTCTCTCTCTCTCTCTCTCTCTCTCGTCTACCTCTTCTTCTTCTTCTTTGTAATTGGTCCAGAAGTGACGTTTCTATTGGTCAATTTTTCTCTACGAGTGCCGTATCCGAAACTTGATGACACTCGAGTCTCGAGTCTCGATTATCGATGCATGCTCGATGATCGATAGCTGCGCGAGACTGCGACAATCGCGTCTATTCGAAATCCGCGAATCCAGCGTACTTTCTAGAGTAGCTTGAAGCCGACACTTTCGAAAAACGCTTTCGCGAGAAAGAAGAGATCTCGAGGTGATCGTCAATTTAATTGGTCGGACGGTTGTCCGACGTCCGTGAGCGACGCGCATGCGTAACGGTGATCCCGGCGACCAGACCGGAAGAAAAGGTTTTGTGGCTTTTGGAAACCCCTGGTGGAAAAATACAATGGAGGACACGAACGTGAGACTTATCCGAATTCGTCGGCCGCAAGGGTCGGTCTAGCTGGCGATCTCCGACTCCGAATCGTGCGTCTTACTTACGTGGAAGAGGAGGGTTTCGGCGGTGTACACGCGCGTGTAAATTGCCGTCGAGCGCTCGTCGTCGAGAGGTCGCGCGCGCGCACGCGGGATACGCCTAATTTGCGGCGTGAAAGAGAAAAAAAGAGGGAGAGAGAATAAGCCAGCCAAAAGCAGGCCACTCACAGAGATACGCGAGAAACGAGAGCGCCGAGAGAATTACGCCGCAGTAATCGCGCGGCGGGAAAACGAACACGCGACCGAACGAACACAGAGCGAGCGGGATCCTTTTACGAACCGGCGCGCACGTAACACACAGACAGACACACACACACACACACACACACACACACACACACACACACACACACACACGCACACAGCGGGCAATTCTCACCGAAGCAACCAAAGTCGAAAGTATCCGGCATCGCAAGGGCAAACGACCGACTCGTCGAGTCGCTGACATTTTCGAGCGATTTGTTAAACAGCGAATCGGCCGACGCGCGGGCGCTTCGCGCTCTCTTCTCCCCTGTCTCCTCCCCCCTCCCCGCCCCTTCCTCTGCCTTCGGCCTGAAAGCGCGATTAAGCGCGATCGAAAACGACGCGATTTTATTGACTCGGTGCAACTCGAGAGTGACGGCCCACCGCCGCGCCGATCGGATACCCTATTTTCCCCGGCCGCTGTTATTTTCACCGAGCGTTAATGGCACCTCCCCCCTCCCCCCTCGGCCCGCGCGCGCGCGCGCGCGCGCGTTTGCGTAATGCATTGTCGTGGAAGAGGCGATCACTGGATTACGGCGAGACACCACTCGCGCACGTCGCACGTCGCACGGCGCGTTCCTGCGCAATAAGCTCCGCGAACACACGGGGTTATTCGATGCTCGTCGTCTCTTTTTTTTTTTTTTCTATGCCAAGGCCGCGAATGTGTAATTTAGCGTGTCGCTTTTTAAGCGAGGGAACGAGAGAAGCGAGTATTCTAAATATCGGAGTATCGAGTCCAAGGCTCGCGCGGGGATCGGAAACGCAGAAGCCGACGTGTTATTCCTGTCTCGTTTCGGAGATAAAAAAGCATTCTTTACCGCGTATTTTCCTTGCGACGCTCTTGTGGCGCTCCAAACATCCTTCCTTCCTCCTCCAGAAGCGCAGTCGATTAGATACCCACACGCGACCTCTTCGGTTGAACCCTTTTTTTTTTTTTTGTTATCTTATCTCGCAAGCAGCGCACGATCAACTCGTCGTGCCGCGCCTGTGTGCGAGGGAACGCGCACTGTGCGCTTCATAAACAGATAAATTGTGCACGCTACGCGGTGTGTGTATCGGCGATTTTTACTTGCGATTTACATATCTCGTTCTATATGTCAGACCTTCACTAGTTGCGTAAACGAAAACTGGAAGACGGTAAAAAGAAAGAGTCGAGCGACGTGTTAAATACCCGATGGAAAATCAGTACCGTAAGCGTTCCACTTCTCTCTCTCTCTCTCTCTCTCTCTCTCTCTCTCTCTCTCTCTCTCTCTCTCTCTCTCTCTCTCTCTCTCTCTTTCTTTCTCCGTTGTGTGCCCTCTCTCTTCAAAGAAAACCGCTCCGGAATCCACGTCTTGGAATGCACGACGACGACGACGACGAGACTACGCTTAGCGCGAACGCGACTTGTCTAACCGATTTCCACCGGCGACTTCCCACCGTCGCGGACGTTGATTTTTCCCTAACCATTCACGCAACTGCGATTCGACAAATCCTGTTCCAACGTTGTCGCCAATAATTCAATAATTTCAGTTATTAATTCTTCAATTCGCTAATCTCTCTACACCTCATCACTAATTTAACGATCGAATCCGATAATTTATTAATTAACGCGTATCGTCCGCGTGATAATTATTATCCCGGTGCCGCAGATATCGCGAAAAGAGTTACTTCTCATCGCATCGGCTCTTCACTCCCCATCCCCCCTCTCCCTACCGGAGCCGTCTCGTTGACGGAAACTCGAAGGAAACGTCCCAGCTGTTTCCGAATCGCGCTCGAATTTGCTCTCGCGGGGCGCACAATGTATCGAGGCATCGCGATTGAAATCGTTCGACCGGAAAGGGTTAATCTCCGGGGAGGGATGCCCGAGTCGAGGTGAATTTTGTGCTCGGTGTCACCCGAGCAAGGGGAAAGAGAGAGAGAGAGAGAGAGACAGAGAGAGAGAGAGAGAGAGAGAGAAAGAGAGAGAGAGAGATCCGACCAGACGTCGACTCGACGTCGCCATCGTAATCCTGTCCACGCTGTGTTTCCCCCACAAGCAGCTTCGCACCTCTCTCGCCTCCTCCCCGAGATCTCCTCGTCGACCGATACTCCCTCACGGACGCACGTTTCCCTTCCCCTCCATGGCCCCCATCCGCCACGACGACGGACGTAGCGCTACACCGCAGCGGACTATTGTAGAGACACGATCAACATTTTCGAGACAACAAGTGTCGCGGACGATTAACAGGATACTTTAGTCGCGTGCCAACAAACAGGACGAGATTGTCCCGTTACGCGCGACCGACGAAAGTCGAAGGTGACTTCGGCCGGGATATCAACATGTCGCCGATAGCAAGATTCCACGTAGACAAACGCCACCATCATCGCACAGCCGAGTCGTTACACCGTCGTCGCCGTCGCCGTCGCCGTCGCCGTCGTCGTCGCCGGTGCCGCAAACGGGATTTCCGAAGCCCCTCCCCCTCCCCCGCTCGTGCGTGTCGCGAGCGAAACCACCGAGTGCCTCCGTCTCGCATTGACGGGCATGCGGGCCGCGCTCCGTTTTCTCGACGCGAACGATGCTACGAGGATAAACGCGCGCGCTATCGCGACGAAGATACGCGCCGCGAGCACGCGACAGATGTCACAAACGCCGCGCGACCTCTCGCTACGCGGCTGCGGGAGAGACGGATGCGGGGCGAATTTTTCGAGAATTATTCTCGAACGACACGTCGTCGCCTTGATTCGCGGTTTCCGCGTCGAGCGACGTCAGTCAGATAACGTCGCGCGCGAATTGATACAGCGGTGGAAAGCTCGCAAGCTCGACCTCGCGCTTTTCAACGCTTCTCCCGCCCGCTGCTTCTCTCTTTTCCTCTCTCTCTCTCTCTCTTTCTCTCTCCTTCTCAGCGCGATTGCAGAGCGCCGATCGATTATTATTATCGCAGGCGGCGGCGGTTAATCGCGCATATTTCCACGAACTTTCGAACGGTAATTCGCAGACAGACAAACACACACACACACACACACACACACGCACGCGCACACACACGTACGATGCGTTTCCATGGAACGGACGGTTCTCGGTAATTCTCGGTTCCGTCGGAAACGCCGTGCCGTCTAGAAAGTAACGCTCCACATCGACGACCTTGTTCCTAGGATCTACATGCGCCGCGATCGGCCTCGGCTCCGACGCGGCGTATCCGCGACGCGATCGGGCACTTTCGGGTTTCCGAGATAACCGCGGCGGCCGGTCGCAGCTGTCAGCTGTCGACGAGGCTGAACGCCGCGCGTCCTTTCGCGAGGCGTTCCTTTCGACACGGCGGAAGAGGGATTAATATCGCTACAATGTCTGCGCGGAATTCAGACGCGAGAGAATGAATAATTGCGACGATCATGCTCCCCCCCTCTCTCTCTCTCTCTCCCTCCCTCGCAAAACTCAATCGCCGCAATTTTCGGCCACTTTGCTCTCTCCCCGGATCCCTCTGCGGAGGGTCCTTTTCCCGAGGAAATGCATTTTCCTCGTTTACTCGCCGAGTCGGCGACGCGACTCGAGCGAAGAACGCGCGCCGTCTCGAATCTGCGGATCGAAAGCGACGTAATTTCGGCGAGTAAAATCTCCCCGATGGCACGGATACGCGCGAGGAGGAACCTCACGGCAGTGATCCACCTTGGCGTGCCACTGGCACCGAAATCCCATATTCAAGGAAATTATCACACCGGTTTCGATCCTCGAGCCGCGGCACGCTAGGCGCGCGCGCGCGCGCGCGCGCGATCCGCGAGACCGAATATACCGTTCCTCTCCCTCTTGGAAATACCTCGCTTGTTCCCTCCCTCCGGGGGCCTGCTCTCCGTTGAACGATCCGACTGATAGCGCCGTATCGATCGATGACACTCGAGATGACAGCCGCACGTGGTAAAGTACGTCCTCCCCTGGGTTGCGCGCACGTGTGCACTCGCGCGCGCGCGCGCGCGTTCGTCGCGCGATAACGGCGCGGCCGATGTGCGCGCGCACTCCGTCAAGCGTGACTGAGCGCGCTGTTGAAGCGCGATACGACGCGTTGCGTGCGCGGCTGTGTGGGTGAGCGAGAACGCGTAAAAACAACGCGATAAGACGGCGCGTGCACAGTCGCGGCTGGACTGATCGTGGGGGTCGAGCCACAGGTGTCATCAGACGGTGAGCGCTCCCTCCCCCCTTTCCCTTCGCGGCTGATGCCGCTTCTCTGCCCCGCTCGGCACCGCTATCCCCACCAGGATGCATCTCTCTCTCTCTCTCTCTCTCTCTCTCTCTGGCGCGCGCGC